ACAACATTGATGAATATGGAAGGTATTATGCTAAGTGAAATAAGACAGAGAAGAGACAAATACCATATGATCTCACTTATGCGTGGACTCTAAAGAACAAAATAAGCAAACAAAACAGAAACAGACTCATAGATACAGGGAATAAACTGATGGTTGCTGGATGGGAGAGGAGTTGGGGGACTAGGTGAAAAAGGTGAAGGGAGTAAGTAGTAAAGATTGGTAGTTACAAAATAGTCACAGGGATGTAAAGTACAGCACAAGGAATATAGTCAATAATATTGTAATAACTATGTATAGTGCCAGGTGGGTACTAGACTAATCAGGGGGATCACTTTGTAAATTATATAAATGTCTTACCACTATGCTGTACACCTGAAACTAATAAAAATAATATTGAATGTCAACTGTAATTGAAAAAAATAATATTTATCCATTTCATCTTGGTGTCCCAGATTAAGTAATCAAAGTTTCTGCAGCCCTACCCTCATTATCCTATTTATGAATTGCCATGATCACTACCGTGGGGCCTTTTTCAAGATATTCTTCATCCATCAACTTAATCCTTATTACATTCCCTAATGTTCTAGTAAATTAATCTGATGAAATAATCGACACCAAGGAATTAATGTATTAGTCATTATCTTGGACTTCTCAGTGCCACATGTGTGCAGTCTATTGTGCTAGGGTTGGGATGACATAGTCAAATGTGGCGGAGGTGGGGTTAAATACTTATAGTTGACTGCATTACAATCTGATAAATGCTATAATAAAAATAACAAAAAAATTGAAATTCTATTCCATTCTGTATTTTTCTTAATCATTAAACTTTCATATTTTGCTAACCTTTGATTTTCAACACATATTTTATGCTCTAATTTGAAAACATTTATATAAGCACTTTATTTCATTTAAACTTTTAAGAGCTTCCTTCTATTTTTTTAAAGCTAATTCTTTACCTTTTTAGTAAACTTCCATTTTTAACCTTTGTTTTATTCATTTTACTTTTTAACCTGCAAACTTATAAAATGTTTTATTTTAATAAGCTTGAAGTTTTAAATTAAAAAACTCAAAATTTGTTAAAAATATCTAACTTAAAATTTTTTCAACATTTAAAAACATTTTTTTTCTTTTAAAATTAAGTTTATTTTTTAAGTTTTTAAAGCTTTTAAAAATTTATTTCAAAATAGTTTTTCCACACCATGTGACCGGTCAACTACAGCCAGAACACCAATTGTGAAGCTTTTTGCTGATGAAAGAATACTACCTGACTTTCCACAGTATTTTTATAGAAATAAATGACATATAGTGCCAGAATATCTCTATTCTCACTCTCTCTACCTACGACATTCTTTTCACTTAATTATGTTTTATGTGACCATTTTTGACCTCCCTCTTTCCATTTCTTAAGGCTGGTCACTAGTATTTTTTTTTCCCCCACAGGTTATGGTAAAATATGTTCTTTATATCAAAGTGCTAATTATCATATAGGTACTATTGTCATTGTCAATTCCAGGAGGTTTTTGTGATACTTCAAGAGGTGCTCATTGTTGTATGGGTATTGTCATTGTCCATTCCAGGTAGGTTTGTGTATCACTTCAGGATCTACCTTTTCATTCCTTTTACTTTTTTTCTGGTACATGGTCTGGTAAGACTACTCTTTCTCTAGACCCTGTTTGTGATAGAACAGTAAATACCCTTCACTGTAGAGTAAGTCCTCAATGGTAGCCTTGGTGATGACGGCATCATCACAGTTGAACCACTGGTCCTTTTGTTGTCGGATAAAGCTGGTGTAGTGTCCACTTTCCAAAGTTCCATGGTGGTTAATCACTGCAAACAAGGAATACTTATTCTCATTGGGCGCACAATCAGTTTGTGGCTGGTCATCTTTCATTCCATTCTCTTTAGTGGAGGCCAAAAATGGAGTCATGTCCAGCTCCAAAGGAAAGGAGATAAAAGTATTAATTTTTCGTCTCTGTTTGCCTAAATGTTCAAACCGCTTTAGATGAAAACAGGCCACAATGGGTAACTTCTTCATTGTGAGCTGTTTGGTAGATTCCTGGTAGCTTTGGCAACTACTGCATTTGATTTTGGCACTGCTTCCCAGGTGCTCTGGCCTTGTAAACCATTGGAGGCAGTCTGTGAGAGAGGGGATTCCTGGCATGTAGTCATCCCTATGCACTGTGCTGTCAGGCCTCTCTGGACTCTGAGAACTGAATGTGGCATAAGAGCCAGGCAAATCCAAACTGATGTCCCAACACGGGTCTATTGTTGTGGACACGCTATGGCAAGCCTGACACGTGACATCAGACTGCAAGCCACCTGTAAAGATTTGGTCTATAATGCAGTTACAGCCGTTGGGGTTACTGGCTTCCTGCCCAACACTATCATCTTTGCTGTGTCTATGCAGTACATCTAATATGGCAATAAGGAACTCATGGGCATCCTGCTGCCTGTACCCTGCTAAGTGTTCTGCATGAATCCATATCAGGTGCAGTAACTTATAGGGAATGTGAGGAGTTCGGCTTCCAGAGTACATAGCATGAAAAAGTGAAGACATTTCACAGACAAGACACAAGCTGGGGCTTGTCATTATACATTTGTGCTTGTTAGAGAGAAAGAAATCTTTCAGTAGAGGAATATGGGTAAGTGCCTGGACAATACAATTCATAAAGCAGGTATTCCCAAGATTGATTAGCCCTCTTAGGCCTACAGTATACACTGACTTTTTTCTCCTCTTTTTCTTGGGTTTCACCAATTTTGGCTCCTGTTCCTTTGACTCACAGGTTGATTGCTTCTTTTCAATACCTGATGCCATACACTGTTGTTGAGAAACATCTGTTGAGGTGGAAGTTAATAATTTCAACATTTTCTCTTTTGTTTCTTTGGCAATCTGTTCTATGTCTTTGTCATATACGTAATCCTTACACATAAAGCAATATATAACCCCATGATAGAGATCTACAGCTAAATTGTGCTGTTCTGTTTCTGCATGTTTATGAATATGTTTCTCAGTAAAGCAGCCAAAAAAGACACAGGAGAGACAAGAGTGGAGTCTGTTCACATAGGTACTACATACAAGACAGATGCACGACTTTGCCTTACGCTTCCTAGTCTCCGGGGTCCCACTCCAAACGAAACGCTGGTAGATCAAGCGAAGGTTCTTCTGCCAGTTCTTGGCTACTTTAAAGCTCTCCACATGAGAGCAGCCTGTGGGACCCTGATCAAACTCCACCTCCAGCAGCCAGTCCCCAAAGCCACCTCGATCCCCAGAGCCGCCTAAGTCACCAAAACAGCTTTGCCGCGTCCGTGGCCTGGACACCGGCCGGGATCTACGCTGAGGTCTGCGCCAGGGCCGGGGCCTGGGCAGCGGCGGGGGAGGATGGGCTGGAGGCGAGGGTGGGGCCGAGGGCCGGGGAGGGCCTCGGGA